TTACAAAATTATCAATTGTATGATTCTTTCGATTGATTGGCAAATTAATTTTGTGGGATTGGATATGAATTGGAGAGGGGAGAAATGTTTCTTCGAATGAAGATCTATGTTTTAGTTTATGTGGAGCATATGCTGCAAGTGTTTTTTTCTATATATATATGTATAAAATAAAATATCGTGAATTTTTTTCTTTTTCGCATGATAAGTTGCAATATTATCAAATCGAAGGTAATTAATTTTCAAAATTTTAATTTATTAATTTATCCAATAATTAATAGTTTAAAATTCTCAAAAAAAAAAATTCATTAAACACAATCTGAAAATTTCCCTATTTTCAGATTTCAATTTCCTTTTACGAATCGAATTAGCATTTTAGATTAAAACGTGTTATAAAATATATATATAAAGAGTTGCTTTTAATTAATGATACGCGATAGAAATTTCATTCTAAACAATTCGAATTGACAGGATAATATTCTGTGAAGCGAATTGTTTCATAGAAAAATACCTTTGAAATTCAATTTAACACGAGTATCTGATTGAAACTTCGTGTAACTAGATACATATAATACTTTAGTTACAAACTGTTCCCATATATAATGTAATGGCGTAAACTCTTAAGAGCTCTTGCTTGTCGAATTGTATCGAACGCAGAAACGCAGTTACAGTGGCGAAGGCAATTGAATCAGTGAAGTATCGGTCAAATGCACGTGTGCTCCATTGAATTTCAAAGTTATTTTTCTGGACGAAACGAAACTTCATATGACAAAAAATTCCTATTTCCTTCCTATCATTCTCATTTGTTTCGCGTCATAGAATCGCTAGTACTCCACTACTTGTATCGTATTTTTCGTTGTTGTTGATTAATTTTCCGCGGTAAAAAAATTAGAAAAAGATTTTCTAATCTTTGATTAGAAACGAGATGTAAATCAGAAAATAAATATAAAGTATAGAAAATCTGTACGTATATTAGCATAATTGTTTTGATAATTAATTCGAAAATTTTTGTCTATATTTGGCAATACAAATATTCAATAGTATTTGTACATGTTACAATATATATAAGGTATTTGTTTTCACGTATTTTTATTTTGTTTTTGATACAAATAGGTTTTTAAATCTAGTAAGGTTGATGTACAACTTTTCCACCTTTCTGAGTAATTTTCATGTTCTATGCTTTCTGTTATTATTCTCTGAAAATAAATTAGTATGAATAATTAGTTTCAGTATCTTCTTGTTATCTATCTTTCATTTTTCTCATTCCATTTTATAAATTATAAGATTAATTTTTGGAATGTGTTGAATATATTGTCTAGTATTTAAAAATCACAATAATTATTATAATTCTTTAATAATGTAGTAAAAACTACAAAATAATTATTCCTTTAGGATAAAATTTTTTAAAAAATTCTTAGACACAAAAATTATATATTTTCAGTCATTCGTTTCAATTAAAGTTATTATAAATTTATTAATTGTTGATTACTTAATTTGTATGTAAATTCAGATTAATTGTTTATATGGATAATATCTTAAATATTTTAGATTCATTAATTTGACAATTTAGAGTAATTTTCTAATAATAAAAAATAATAATTAAAAATGAGATCATAAGGGAAAAAAAAGGATTTAAGGAAATCGAAAGTAACAAAGTTGTGTAGAAGTTTTATTCTCTGTAGAATTATTTATAACTTCTTGAAAAATTAATGATAGGAAAAAAATTATTTAAAACCGATTTCCTGTACGTGTCGTAATACACATCTCTGAAGCAGTAACAATATGTTGTTGGAAGCAATGAAATACGGTGTAGTTAATGGCAATCGATAAGTTTTATGGACTTGGCTATATGAAAGGAGCGTAAAAAGATAAATGAAGCAACATTTATTACGTTCTTTGGCATTCGAGAAAATTTATCAATGATTAATGTTGAATTTGGTGGTTAGTTTTTGTTCCACAGATTTATTTAGATGGAAGATTTCTTTTGAAATATGGGTATGAAGATAAGCAACACTTTAAATAACACCAAAGAATCAAAACATCTAGTGTTTTTTATTTAAATTCTAATTCTCAGTGTAAATTATAAATTTTCATTTAAATTTACTTTTTTATTTAAAAAAAAATAGTAATAATTTTACAAATTTTCACTAAATATAATAAATATCCTATAATTTTTGGACTCAATATATCTAAGAATTATGATTTAAAATAAAATGCACTAATAGTAAAGAATGACTTAATCATTATTTTCAATTCTGTTCTTACTATTACATTAAATAAAGGTTACACTATAAAGTCAATCAATATAATATTAAACTAATTTATACAAAATTCAAGAATCTATTTATCGTTTAAACTCTCAAGTTAAGAAATAAATTAAGTGATCAAGTTCAATTAAGTAATTCAATAATTTAATTTAATTGAAATAAACGTGACTTAATCAACTATATTGATTGGCTTTTGAATATTTTATATATCTATACGTGCTATACCATATATTATATAACAAACTTTCCTACGTTTCACCATCTTCATACGCATAACGTTTCATTGTGCTGATTTTCGCACGGGGACGAAAGTTGATCATAGCATGGAAAAACAAATGAGGATCCTCGAGCTTCGAAGCTTCTACAATTCAGCAGAAAGTTTCAAGGACAATCTTCCTCTTCCTTCTTCACTTCCTTTCTCCTTCTCCTTTCTTCCTCCTTTGACTCGTCCTCCGCCTATATCCATTCGTCTGTCCTCCCACGAACCGAATCTCGACATGAAATAAGAAGAGAGTAAATACTCGAAGTCGTCTCTCTGAGTACATGGGCGTTTGGCACGAAACCAAATTTCAACGGCAGAAGTTATATCATCGTTGGATAGAAGCTATGGTATATATACTGTGCCCCCTTTGAAATCATTCTGCTGGCTTATTTCGACGTCGATGACGATAACGACGTTATAACGCGAAGCCAGCTAAACTGTGAAAAGTGGAATGTGCAGATATTTTCCTCTCCTTCAATTAAGCTTCCCTCCTCGAGTTAAGGGTAATAATTTAGCTTGTATTTATCGAGGCGTAATAATTTTGTTGTGTCTTTTTAATTTAAAAGGGGGAAAATTATCAATTTTGTTATGGATTTCGAATTTTTATGTACGAATTTAGATATTGTTTCGAAGAAGAGAGGGATTTTAACGTGAAGCTAACGGATATTATATTTAATTTACATTTAAGGAATTTTTTAAATATGGAAGAGTATAGCTGGATTGAAAGTAATTCGATTTCTTACTTTATTGGTCTTGATAAGATAATTCTTTTCAGATTTATTGATAGGGAGAAAGGTTGAATTTAAATCAAACATTGAAATTAAATTAGATATTAATTTATTAATTATAAATACGTTCTGTAATATTCTGTGAAGAAATTGTGAGATAAGAAAAGAATTCGTTCAATCAAGTTGCAGTGAAAGAGGTCGATACATAATCAGGCATAATCGTTGCCTTAATTATTATAATCATTTCATAATTGATTAACTGATAATATCGAATTAATTATATTTTTGATCCCGATTCGATCGATTAAAATTATAAAATATTAGAATAATTAAAATCAATAATATTAATAATCGATAATTAAACAGAAAAATTAGTTCATTTAACTTTGTACATAGAAAGTTTGTAAAGAGAATGATAAATTGCAAATTTAATTTCATTAATCTTTTAATTTTTTAAAAAAACTTTGTAGTCGAGGAAAATATTCAAATATTCAAGTGAGAAATCTTGTGTAAATAATTGATGCACGAATATATCGTTGGCAATATTGCGGTTCACAATATGCAGGCAAGAGTTTGTACATACTGAGATGGTCATTCGCAACAGTTTGGTAATTATCGCAAATTAATTTGACTGTACAGTGCTTATTCATCTGTCATTCCAGTGTGAAATGCGGATACGATGTTATAACGACCCGTTTCCCTCGTGTATCATTGATCATCGATCATTTGGCTATTGAACTTTGCCAATATAGGTACGTTTTCCGTCATTGTGACAATCCCTTTAATTTATTAACGTTGCATTTATGAAAAGAAAGTAGTTTCATGTTAAAAAACAAAACAATTGCTATTTTTTTTTATCGAATTTTTATCTTTTCTTTTATTGCGTTTTAAAATTGTTAAGCTAATTACAATTTTTTATTGAGAAAGGTATAAAGAGATTTTTTATTTGAAAACAATTTATTTAACTTTACATTTTGTAGTATTATATTTATATTATATTTTATTTAATTTATGAAACATTTTATTAATTGAAAAAAAAATTATATGTCACTTATATATCTCATTCTATATTACCATAAGTACGTAATTGTTTTACTTATAATTTGTTGTATATTAAAGTTGATCCATGACGGAACTGAAAATAAAAAAATTTAAACGATCATTGATTTTGGAAATAATAATAAATTGTCGTGAATTTTGTTAGTTATCGAAATGATTTAATAAAATTGGGTTATGTTACAATAGGTTTTATTCTAATATCATATAAAATAATAATTTTCAATACTTCAACAGATAAAAATAGCAATTACATTTCATTAGTGAAATTTCTATTTAATGTCTCACTTTTTTCATTTTATAACAATAGTAATTAACATTATAATTTAATTTCGAATATTTTATATATATAACAAGTGTTAGAGTTAGCTATTATTATTAATTAGATTTCTCAATTCAAAAGTCAAGTTATTTCTTAATCAATACAAAATCAATCAAAACATTCTTTAACATCTTGGTATTTATTGTAAAAACTATATTAAATATTCAGATATGTTTTAACTTTATTCTAAAAAAGTTAATATCTTATGTATACATACGCTCAGATATAGAAGATAATGAAAAAAGGATATAATTTTGAAAAAATATAGATTCTTCCATTCTATATCATCGAATTCTAAAATTATGAATCCTTTTTTCCCCTTATAATATCTGTATTAAAGAAAAAGGTTAATCTGAGAGATCTAATTAATTAATTTTAATATTCACTTTTGATTTTATATATCTAGGATTCACTCTTAACTGAGCAGTTGTGCAACAGTCTTTGGTCATTAGGAAATACTATTATACTTTATTGCGTCTCGTATGTTTAATGCAATTTATATAAATAGTATCACATAGCAATTTGACCGGTGTATTAATTAATTACAATGTGCTCTAGTGCGGTCTAGGAACTCGGACAGCAAATTGTGTTACAGTTAGTTGCAGAATATAATGCAATTTTAATTTTGATTATCGACGAGCACAAGATACACTAGACGCTGTAATTTAGTTTATCCCCTTAACGATGATCGAATAATGGCTACGAATACTTAATTATTAAATGTTAATTCAAGTGAAAATCGAAATTTGGTAAACTCAATTCTCAATTAAAATTTCCGACAATTTGAATGTCAAGCTTAAATTTAATTTCTTAAGAAAGTCTATTACGTAAATTTTTACATTACATTTGTAAATTCAACTTATCTATTTACGTATTAAAAATTACCTATTACGTATTTAAAATTCTTGTAAATCTTTGCAAATTTTCACAATTTAAAAGTGAGCTTAAATTGTGAATTTTAAATTTCCAAAGAAAATTCCAAGAAAATCTACGATGTGAATCTTTACATACACGCATACTCGTGGAATGATTTAATTTGGTTAAATATTAGAGTTCGACAATATTTAAATTATAAATTGTGTGTGATTATTTCTAATAATAATAAGTCTATTCTACTTCATTTCATTCGTGGTAAGATAAAAATACAGGATGTTAAAAAAATAAGAGTATCAAAATTTAAGAACTTACAGTACTCGTTGAAAGTAATAAAAAAAAAGAAAATCGAATCAATTGATTTCAGAACTTAAATATATTTTATCCTCTACGAGTACTAAAAGCTCTTAAAATCCCACAATTTTCTTTAAATACTTTGCATATAACCTCGTAAAATCACAACGTAAATGCACTCTCGCATCTACGATATTCACTGGGAGATCATTAACAACTCCTTACTTAACGCACATGAATTGGAATGTGCCAAACTGGAAGGACGGAATCCTCCTTTCTCCTCGAATCATCGTTTCGAAATATTACAACAACAAGTTCACATTATTATTCAATTACACCATAAACAAAACATCACACAGGTATGTCATCAAAATATTTATCCATAACAAAATATCTCTGGATCGTTCAATTTTATTCCTTTCTCTCTCTCAATGTCCATTTTCTTTATTCACTATCAGAGATGTAACCATTTTGCAAAATGTCCTTGTGCGCATCTCCATTGTTCGAAGAAGATACCTTGCTATATCTGTACGAATTTCTGTTTTTTAGATACCACTTGACACCCACGTACACGATTATCACGATGAACAAAAGGACGCTGATCGAGAACAAAATGGTCATCCAGTAGAACCAGAGGGTGGAGTGCATGGTCCACGAGAGATCGCGTAAGATGCACACGGACTCGTCGAGGCTCGATGAAAACTCGGCATCCTCGTGGCAACTGGTGCACTCGGTATTCGAAGGTCCTGAACAAGTTAGGCAGGAGTAATGGCAGTTGGAGCATACTGCCTTTGACTCGTCAGAAACGCCGTAAGTTCCTCTAGGACACTTGTACACGCAGGTTCCGTCGTAGTAGTACCAGTTCAGCTTACATTCTGAAAAATTACACAGGTTTGGTCTTTGATGGTCTTCCCTTCCATTTTCTATTTGTGTAAATCGCATCTTGATGTGTGCGTTCTGTTCCTTCTCTTTTGTGCGTGTTTTGTGGATGTGGTAGATTAATCTCGAAGACATACGGATGACAATGATTGATTCGTTGGACGTGGATTTTAATTTTTCGAAAACCATTTCTTTTTTTTTTTTTTAAATTCATATCGATATTTCAATCAGATTGATTTTAATATATTTTGCATGTTATTGGAAATATAGAGAATTGGTTTATGGAGAATTGAAATTCCAGGCATAAAGATAATGGAAAAATTTTAGATGAAGCTTATTCTATTCTGAATTAAAATTTGATATATAATATTTGAAATTTTTCAGGATTATAAAGTTTTGTTTTATTTTTTTTTGTAGCATTTTTATTAAAAAAAATATATATATTAGAATAGTTCTATATTTCTATATTCTAAATCTTTTTATAAGAATTGTTATTTCATTTAAAAAATAAGAGACGTGTTTAAATTAAAATTTGTTTTGAAAAATAAAGGCATGTTAGATTTATTTTAACGAAGCAGTATTTTTTGAGTTAAAAATAACTTAAATTTTTAACTTAATTAAAAACGCCTCTATGCAAGTAACTACTCAATATCGAAAAATGAAGGTGTATATTGGGAGGTTGCTTGCACAGGGGTTTCTAACGAAATTAAATTACTCGATAACTTGAAAATTAAGCTTCATCTGAAATGTATGCACATCTTTTTCAAAGATTTTTCAAAGATTTTTCAAGATTTTCTTATTTTTCTACATTTTCGAATCGAATTTTGCAAATTAAAATTAAAAGAAAATTAAACTTTAATCAATTGAATGAATTGATCAAACGTTTCCTCGACTAAATAAACTTTTGCCAATTTAATATTCGTATTTAAACTCCCATTAATAAATATTCATATTATAATGGGAGAAATAATTGAAATTCAGTTATGTGAATTATTTGTCCCTTAACAAAAGTTTAGAGTAAAGTTTTACCGTGTAATATAAATCGTTTAAGTTGTTAAATCATGAATAATAGGTTTCGGTAGATTTAGTAAGTTTTCAGATAATCTCGCGAAGCAATTTGAATTTTCAAGTAATACTTATCAAGAGAGAGCGAGTTCTCGGATGAGAGATACGTTTAAATCGTTTTGACGAAGCCAATTTTGATAATAATTTTGTTGGTAAATGTATGAGGAATAATCCGTGCGGAACAGGAATTGCTGTTACATTTAATAGTGGAAATCAAAAGCACATCTTACAGCATAATTTGTACAATATCACGCTTTTGACATTCAATTAATTTAAATATGAATTTTTTTCATCATTGTCATCCATACGTTGAATTCGTGAACATTTTCACGTTCGTCATGTTTATTGTTTCGTGTTGTTTCGAGACATTGTACGTTACATAGCTTACATAAACAAGAAATATATTTACGGATAACATAAATTTTTTTATTATAACAAAAATATATCTGCGATAAGCGATTCTATACTATAATGATAATTTAATGTACATTTATTGTGTATTAGGCCTCGGTGAATTGTCATTATTATACTTTGCAAATTGTGGAATCGATATTCGAAGAATATCCCGATTTTATATTCGCCCAGCCCTAATGCAAATTTATTTCGAAATTACATGTTATCTCTATTTGGGTTATCTTGTAAAAAACGAAGCAAAGAAGTTATAAATAATTAATTTTACTAAATGTTGTCTAATGAATATTTATAAAATAATTTAAGGGACAAGGTGCATGCTGAAGCATATATTTATTACGCGATTAATTAGCATTGAATGTACAATTTAAACAACAATTGATACATACAAAAATATTATTTCTTTACTTTTTTTTTTTTTTTTTTGGATATTTAAATTTCAAAAACTTTATTTTTCAAAGATTGAATCGAAAGAAAGATTGGAAATTTTTATATCTTTAAAAAGAAAAATCATCGAAAATATTTAAACATAAAATATATATACCGGTTTCAAAGATGTATCTAGATATATTTCCGTAAAAAGTGCACGCAAATTTTCAATAATAAAAAATCTTCAAAGTCTTTCTCAAAGCTAAGCAGGAATTGATCTCATTGATTCAATTCATTGATAATTCAACAAGCAATAAAGCAACAGAGAAAATATAAATTGCTAAAAAAGAAAAAAAATCAGTTCAAGCAATGTACAAGTAGCAAGATAACAATGAAAAAGCAAAATTATTAATTGAAACTTCTAATGAAAAACAGAAAGTTTGATGAATCGAAGTACATTGAATCCAAAATATTTTTTGCAATAATTAGAGAGCTCAATGAGAAAATAGTAAAATTTTTTTCTGTATATTATGATGTAAAGTATTCCACAAGTAGAGTGTTAAGCAAAGTACAAATTTTTTTAACTTCTTTCCAATTCATAAATTTAATTCTTTTTTTAAATCATTCATTTTCAAATTAAAAATCTTGTAAATCACATATCATGTTTTATCTAATTTAAATCTTTGAATGAAAATTACATTATATTTGGTACTATCCTTTTCATAAATTTTATAAATCTAATAAAGATAAAATTTATGAGTAATATACACAAACCCATAGAAATTATGGTGATTTTATCTTCTCAAATTAAAAATTTTATCACTTTTTCTTTGAGTTACTCGATCATATATATATATATATATATATATATATATATATATATATG